AGATAGTTAATATGGTTAACATATAATAAGTTAATACCTAGGTAACTAATGGCTAGGTAGTTCCCTATAATATACAATGATTAGGTAGAAAAAAATAAACGTTCGTAAATCACTTATCAATATTTGTACACAGACAAAACACGATAAATTATTATCTCATTGATAATTAACCTTGAACTATCTATATAATTTAATTTAATATTAAAAAGGTTAAAAACCCAAATCACCGAAATACCKCAGAAAATGGAAATTTTTAACTGTCCCCCGATTTGAAATGTCAAAACATATGATAATATGTGTAAGCCAATTTTCTTCTATTTATAAAACGCCGGTCACATAAATTATTTTACTATAGAAAAATTTTTTACTTCAAACTTCGAAGTATTTAAAAATATATTATGCATAACCTGCAACCCAAATCCAGAAAGTGTGACTGTCAACCAAAGTTTCCATCGTAGGTAATTGTAGCTACACAAAAATCTACATTTTATTTATTTCAGACTTCACTTTTAAAGTTCAAGGTTACGCAGTCCAAACAATACATAAATATCATTTGTGTATCTAGTAAATTATATATGAAAATAGCTCACCTACGTTTAATTTAAAATATGGAACTGAAATTATTATATTTATAATAATATTTAGAGATCCTAGTTTATGATTACTTTTAAAAATTTAAATGATGGTATGTTAAATACCTGTGTGTAYTTTTTTATGTAGATACCTAAGTTTTGTGGGCCAACATAGTAAATATAGTATTACCTACGTCAACTTCTGTTTATTAACGGAAACCATCTATTTTAACCATATATTATTCATGTGTTAGTGGATTTCAGCGTTCAAACCAAATTAAAATATTCTAAGTTCAACAATAACTTTGTAATAGTATTTTGACTATTACTCATATTACACATATCTTTAAATGGAAGCGTGACGTACTGACGTGCACAATTATTTTTATTATCCAATCATTTTGTTCCTTTTTGAACTTTTGAAGGATATATTTATCATTTCATAATCTTAAGCAGAATATTTTTCTGAGAATTTCAATACTTGTATAAAAATTTGATTTTAAACGATCACATAATTAACACCATAACCTTATCAGTTATCAGATTTAATTTTCAAAATTAAGTTGAGTGATAGACTAAAATTTTTTGGAGTAGGTTAAGTTTATAGTAAAAAATTTTAAGCTATAAGTTAACTACTAAARACGACTGGCCATACTGGTAACTTCACTCAAATTATCTTATCTTTAAATAATAAATACTAATGTTAAACTTATAACTAATTAATTACTCGTTCAAAATTAAAATTTTATATTTTTACTTATTTTAATAGTTAGAAAAAAATATTTCAAAATATTTAATAAAACTAGGTATCGCAGATTTATGATTTATTCTGCAGTTTTCAAAAAAAAGTAAAAACTTTAAAAATTAGAGCAATAACAAATAATTATGATTTTAACAGCAATATGTGATTTTGTAACWACTTCAAGCTATCTAAAAAAAATATACTTTATAACGTTAAAGTTTTTGAGAAAATTATTGTTTACGTGTTTACATTTAAAACAATCACATTGTAGATATAAATTATAAATTTATAATATATTCGACGAACTGTTTCATTATCCATGTCACGTATATAATACTTCGATGTGTTTTATACTATTTTGTGAGGCAACTTTTAGGATTTTAATTAAATTTAGTAAAGCTGTATGTATATTAAAAATATCCGGTTATACACTTATACATCTTTAGAAGTTTTCTCATTTTTCTTCCACGTGGCTATACGATAGGTATTCTCCACTATATATGTGCGTCATAGTACCTACACTTGTACTTACTTAATATACTTGTACAACATGCAGTAGCTATTTGATTACAGGTTCTTAGTAGGATCAAGTCAATATGAATTAACTCTCATGATTTGAAGTAAAAATGATTATGCCTTTCATACCGAGCGGCTAGCAACCACCGCATTCGTGTTCATATTTATCAACGAATGACGATCGATAGTATTTAATTATACAAACTTGAAACTTTAGTTAGTAATAATTAATAAAATTAAGTGTTATATGTTGTAAAACTTATAAAAGTATAAGTTGAATTTAAGTGTTATATGTTGTAAAAATATCAACTCTCAAAACAAATAAACCAGACATTTATGTGTCCCGAAAAAATCATCAACACTATGGGACAAGTTGAAAAGAATGATACTACCGTGTACTAACAGGACGTGTGGCATCKTATCTCATTTTATAGTAAATCAAGGTTGAACGTACGCTATTTTATATGCAAAATTATTGCAATATGACAACACAACCTATGAAAACACTAAAAATGTGTAGTACATTGTCTTAATACAACGAAYCAATATAGTGTGTCGTTTTTGTCTCTTCGYTAGTCTCTTGGTGTCGAAATTAAGTGTACAATTTTTTGTATGCAACCGAAGAGTCATTTTCGTACTGGTTATACAACTTTGCTTGCTAGTTACTTATTCGTATTTTACTCTTTTATACTAATACATATCTTATTTCTTATATAACAACTAAGGCTAGGATTTATATAAATAATATATGCAACATAAAATAGTAAAATATTTGTTTAATTTACAATAATTTATTGTAAAATACACACAATAGAAATCTGAAATATAATCAAATTTACAATGAATTTAAAAACGATTTCCAAACTATCTACTTGTGAACGAAAGCGAAATAGTTATATTTTTCGTAGCAACTTAACTTCTTTTGYAKGCCTTATCTTTATGGAAACACGGTATATATAAAATACGCAGCCAATACTTGTTTTTAATAAAAATAATACCTTTGAAATACATGTTTTTATGTCTCCTCCTCCCCTTCAAAGAAAGTAATATAAATTCACCACTGAAAACATTTTATAATTTTAAAATATATTGACTAAAGTGACATATTTTGTAAGCTGTCYCATTTTTGTTAGCCCTAGTTCTAATATATAAATCCATAACAATTTTAAATACTTTTTTTTGTCAAATACAACAAGAACAACGATTTTATGACATTAAAAATGATAAAGCTCTAGCCTTTCACACTATATTTTTGTTTGAACATTCATATACAATATGCATTTTTTATGTTGATTAAAATATGCAAAGTGAAAAATAGATAATTAGTATCAATTTTGATATATTATACTTTTTTCATTCATGGGGTAACTACTAATCAATGAGTAAAAAGAACACCACTACAAAATAAACATAATATCCAATATCCACGCAGTACCGTAGCTAGGGGGGGGCTTAAGGGCTTAAAGGCCCCTTACTGAAATATCAAACTTACTATCCTTGATAATACCAGGCTAGTAGTACCACTAATATCCTAGCCCTAGCAATAAAATATTGTAGCCCTCCCCCAGAAAAAAATCCTGGCTGTGTTATCCATGCATGATATAAACCYTAGCACTGATAACAATATAARATTATCATAAAATAAAATATGTTTTTTAATGTTGTCGAAATACTTTCAGAAAGTGAACCTGGTAGTGACAGTGGTCGACTACGATCGCATCGGTACATCTGAGCCCATCGGCAAAGTGGTGTTGGGCTACAATGCCACCGGCACCGAACTGCGGCACTGGTCCGACATGTTGGCGTCGCCAAGGCGTCCGATCGCGCAGTGGCACACGCTGAAAGATCCGGACGACGATGCTAAAAACTAGAAAACGCTAATATACAAGAACCGACCGAACGACAGACCATCGCCGCCGGTCATTGCCATCGCTTAACCACTCGCCCCAATCGGATATTATAATACCATAATACAGAAATAATAATTCTCAAACAGCACACTAAAATCGGAAATATAAGCAGACACCTATATCTAATATAGGCATACACTTYAAAATAATACCAAAATAGATTAATTGTCTAAACGAGAAAACGCGCCATTTTGTGTATTAATATCWTCGTAGAGAATGTTGCAATATTATTCAAACTCTATCCTAAAAAAAAAAAAAAACATATACCTAATACTAATTGTTGGCGTACCTATCACATAAATATATTATTATATTAACATTCTTCGTGTACACAATGTGTACATGACGATATTTTTATCAGTGCGTGTTTTCACATGTTAAACTTATATCCTCCGTCGTCACTATCCCCAAAAGATAAAAAGAATAACAGATTATCTCTAATGAAATTATCACCAACCACCATAGAGGCATAGACATAATATATTTACTTATAAACTTGGACAATATTTATACATCCCTGCTATACCTAATAGATTATACACTGATTGTCGTTTATCGTCCTGGTGCAACTTAGAGTTAGAGATATTGTAAAAACAAACCTCGTTTTATTGTGGTGCGTATTATTAAAATAATATKATTCAGAGATACAGCCAGGGGAACTGAGTGAGCTGAAAACCACCCCAAAATTTCAGGAAAATTTAATAATGCTTATGCAAAAATAATGGGTAACCATTTTTATTAAAGTTACTGCAAATATCTAAAATTTTACATACYCACCATCAGCATACCAAACTTATGAGGGATCCCAGTTAAGCCTCCCCTAAGAAAATTATCAGCCCTACCCCCAAAGTAAAATCCTGAAAGATCTTTCGTATAATAATATGTTGTACTTAAAAGTGAGACGAAATTATTATCAATACCGAACAAAAACAAAAAAATGATATAACTGTAATTACAAAACGTCTTATAGTATACACTGATTTCTTCTCAGCGTTATTATTATATTGGTAGAATATTGACAGTCATAATATTATATAATATATTGCCAATATATCATCCTATCGGGTAGTATATTATACATAGATAGGTACTCTCATATTTTTATCATTTTATTTTTTTCTTCTTTCCTTCTCTTAACGGAAATTATATACCTACCTACTTAAAATAAAAACAAAAAATATAAAATATATTATATTAATACATACATTATATATTATATATAAATTATAATATTATCTTCGTTAACCCTCCCATGGGTGTTGTTCTATACTAAGCCACTGTTATTCGCTTCGTGTAAACATTATTTAGTTTTAATACACCTTCCTACCCTAAACCTAGTACAGAAAATAATACCATCGTATTATTATTATTAATAAATATATAAAAAAWTGTATTAAGTTCTCTGTGTAAATACTATTTTGCCACCACCATTATTATTATTATTATTATTATTATTATTATTATTATTATTATTATTATTATTATTATAATTACCATAACTATTTTTTTTTTTTTTTTTGATTGGATAGATTTAACACGTTATTATAAAATAGTCTTCGTTATTTAATTGTAATAATATTGTTATCCTCGAAGACCTGAGAGGTGCGTTTATAAATGAATCATTGGAACAAAATTTATATTATCTTTACACAAAATTTTAAAAAATACCTCATTCCAAGTAAATCATAATAAAGAACAACGATAGTTTATTATACCTTAGAAAAAAAGTTATATCGACATTTTTAATAGACGCATTTTTCTTGTCAGTCTCGTTTATACTTATTCTCTAAATTATAATTTATATATATATATAAAAAAAAAAAATGAAAACAATAATAACAATAACACAACATATTTTAGTCAAACAAAATATACCTATATTATATTCGTAAAGAAATGTACTGTTTATCTTGTTATTGTTACTTATTTATGTAAAAATTGTATTATATTCGAATAATATTATTAGGTACTTAATTAATATTATATATTAAAAACGAAATAAATGCGTAAGTCTATATTATATAAAAGAAATAAAGCGTAGATCGGGAATAAGATACGTTTCGGTCGCAAGGCCTGAGTTTTTGTCTATCATTAAAATATTATTATACTGTGCTCGCATTTCCTCTTATTTTCATATTGGTAGAGAATAATATTACATTTTAGAGGGATAGGTATATACTACTATAGGTACAACAACAATAATGTTATCGATACCAGGCACCTGTCTATTTTAAAAGGATACCTAACGTCTTATAACTTTCTTTATGATTTTTTTCTTTAAAAATCGTTGAATATAATTACAGTATAATATAATTCCCATTTTCCCAATATGATCAGTAAAACTTTGGTCAGCCAAAAATATGTTTTMATCGCTTTAAGCGTGCAGTTGTCATTATAATATATTATATATTATATAAATCAAATAACTGTAACGTTCAACCGCGAACATATTAAAACTTATGTTACGTTTTACATTACCTGCCTTTGTTGAAGTTAAAACGAAAGTCGATCGTATCATATTTTAACGATATTATATAATATATTATTATCATTATGAAAAGCTATGTAATTTTGTGAGAACGATATAAGGCATAAGTCATAACGAAAGAAAAACAAAAAAACATTAATAATATCATGTTGCATAAAATTCATTAGGTATACATAAAATATAAGAAACGTACTAAACAACAAAATATAATAATAATATTTGTGTTCCTGCGGTTATACCGAAACTTCTATATTGATAATGCAATATATTATTGGTTAAAAATATTGTTCGTTATTTTATAACAATTGATTATAATTTTTTTTTCATAAGCTATCCCAAAACAATGTTGTATTTTTTGGTTTTAAAATTTAAAAAAATCATAAAAAAAATGTATAATATATTAATATACTATATACTGTAATGTTGGATAAATATATATGTTAAATAGCGCATTAGAACTACACTAATAAATAAAAATAAATACCTACATAATAAACATGTAAATTATAAACCTATATAGTATGTATAATTACATATTTTTTATCCTTTTATTACCCATCGATTTATATGCTGTAGAAAATATATAATAATTACAAATCATGGGTAAATATTACAAAGGAGTATACAAGGGWTGATCTGTGGCTGTTTAACTTTAAACACCCTTTCCACTCACCATATTGAAGATTTGATTTGAATAAGAAATTGTACAATACTGCAAGCATAACATTATGTATGTTTTTATATTTGCTTATAAAGTATAAAAGTCTAGTTATTTTTAAAAAACTTCACAATTAAAAAAAAAACAATAGACCCCAAAGTCTAAGTGTAGGTACTCAAGAATACTTCAGATTTTTTTTAGATTAAGTGCAGCTGTTTATTCCAATGAAAGTAAAATAATAAGTGAAATATGTAAATAAACAATAATTACAAAAATAAAAGTAGAAAAATCACAGAAAATATACAAAAAACACAGACTAAAATTTATGTTTGGGTAAAATAATATCACCGTTTTTCGACTCGTTAAATTTGTAAATTAATTATTATAAAAACTATTAGGTGTGACGACGATCTCAAAATATGTGTACCTTTATACGCGTCTATTATTATTTTTATAACAACTATTTTTGATTAATTAAGATATTCAGCCACTCTGCAATTTGCTCATATGAATTATGATTACACTGAGCGACATAAAAACATCTCACAGTGATGTAGGCTGTCAACAAGATACAATAATTTTTTTTATTATTATTATTATAAAGAAACCAGGCCTCGACTGCATAAGTCATTAGCCGCATTTGGTGACTTACAAACTGATTAATTCACTATGGGTTTATAATTTTTTTTTTTTTTTGACTCGGAGTATTTATTAATGAAATAAGTAACAATCATGATTAATAAATAGAAATAAACAGATATACAGAAGAGAGATAAGAAAAAAAACAAAATAAAAAATAGGTTTTTTGGTATAAGGCTTTGTATAAATTTGTGACTTGTGTCTTATAAATCTGAATATGTTGTTGATGTTTAGAGGTTCATTGTTGAGGCATTCGGAGATATTATTTGGAAATTTGTATTTGCCTCTTTCTTTATTAAATTGGCGACATTCTAATAGAAAATGTTTGATGGAGATTTCGGATCCACAATTGATGTATGGTTCTAGGTCTGTGTTTTATCCGTGAGGAGTTTGTGGGTAGATATACCAGATATGTCCAATCCTAAAATGGGTTAAAATTACGTCTTTTTATCTTGTTAGAGTTATTGGGTTAATCCGTCTATTGATGATGGGTGTAGTTTCTCTTAATTTCTTGTCCCTCAGTAAATTCCATTCCTTATGCCATAAGTTTGTTTTGATAATTTTAGCTTCTCTTTTAAGGTCATCTTTGGAAAGAAAATTTAATATTTCAATGGTTTGATCACTGGTTGCTTGTTTCACCATCATGTCTACTCTTTCGGTTCCCACTATTCCGGTGTGGCTAGGAATCCATTATTTACAATAATATTATAATATATAGGTTACCCTACAAACAGTGATTTCCCGCACTATCATCATGATACATATCGAGTAAACGAGTAAACAAAACGTGCGATGTATAGCTGTACGCTTTACCTTCACTTATTTCTTGTCAGATAATAGTATATAAGGCTTACAGTCTACACAGACTTGTGCACGGTGAGGGGGAGAGAGGTAAGCAGCAGTCTCTCCTGTTGTCTTTCACTTTTTCTTTAGAAAAATATCTATATCAGATATATGGATATATCTATCTCTGGTCCCCCGCAGAAGGTCTTAATCGGAAGAGGCTTGATAATAACATAATATATTGTTTTAAATTATTCGCGAAAACATTAATTGTTATCCGGCGTATCGTATATGCAAAATAGCAACAGCTGTCCATAATTTATTACATTTTAGTTCTTCATCATTTCGTTCACCGAGGAAACGTAGTTGCACACAACCCGAAACAAATCGTAACCAGCAACAATAAAAAAAAATGAAAAATCCTCAACCCTTAGCACATGTCGTATGTGCAGGACCGGATTGACCCGTTGAATTGCGGAGTAAGACTCGGCGGGGCAATTGAATTAGCTCCCCAATACAGGTAGTCAATATTTTACCCTTACAAGTACCTTTGAATTGGCTCCCATTTACTGTTTAATTGGCTCCCTACCGTTTTTTTTTTCAAAAATGTATTGGTTGCCAAAATGTTAATAATTTAAAGTACGTATAATTCGTAATTCGTATATTTTACATCGTTACACAAAATTAAATTTTAAAATTTTAAAAATAGACAATAATTTACCTAAGTGCGTCATTATAAAATTTATGTATATTATATAAATCAAAAATTAAATTAACAGACAGTATTTTAGCTAAGTGTGTCATCATAAAATTTATTTTTTTTATTTTTTTTATTTTTTTTATTTTTAAAGCTCTCAATATAAAATTATTACAGCTTGACAATTAAAACTAAAGATACATTAATAAGAAACGGTACAGGATAACGAAAAATAATAAAATGTATATACATACAAATTAATAAGTTAAATAAAAATATTATATTAGACAATTTTTGGGGGCATATACTTATTAGTCAATATTTTTATGTATTGAAACCTCGAATCTACACCAGTATCATATTTAGTGTTTACTAATTTCATTTTCTAAAAATTTTATTTTATCTCTAATTTCTTTTCTGTGTGGTTTTGTTGTATTGGAACTCCTTATAATAATTTTTGTATCAGATTGAATACGATATATGATATATTTAGAAAGTTGAATATATTAATTGGATTTTACGTCGTAAAATTAAATGCCTATAATATGAGAACCCCTGGTTAAAAAATAATATTTTACAATTTAAGGAGCCAATTCAAATATACATTTTTCAGGAGCCAATTCAAGGATCTAATTTATATTTACCCAAAATTGGGAGCCAATTCAATGATAGCCAGACTCGGTGGGTCGTTAAGTCATGAAGCTGTTGACCGAAAACATGTTCAGAGTTAARTTGAAAATGGAGTCTAAGTGTTGGACTCGCACAGACCATAGTCTAAGATTGTAGGTGTTGTTGATTTTAAGTTTGAGTGGGCTGATAAAGCACACAAATATTCGATGAGMCGAATTCGTCGGATCTGGCGCCGCGGTATACGTGAAGTAACCACATTCTCCGGGAAACATGTAGGTATGGTACATATCATTCTACGTCGATATCGACTTACTACAAGTTAATGACAACAACTATTGTAACATGATTTGTAACAAATAATATTTAAGTAATAAACTGTTAAATATATGGAATTTATTTTTGGCAAACATTAACACACCCATAATATTAGTGCTAAAATAAAACCACCTAGATCCTCAATCTAATTTACTCGGTACAATATGCCAATATATTATGTCACCAAAAGTGGAAAGAACCATCACATTTTTTTTTTTTTAACTGATGTCTGGAAAATTACATAAGTAACATTTCAAATGAGTATATAGGTATAGTCGATTCAACTTTTTTTCACCTACTTAATGCTTATTTCACGATTATTGTAATAGAAAGAATACCATCATTTTTAGATTTAATGCAATGAAATATTTGTACACCTTCAGCAAACAAAAGTAATTAACAGTCAAGTGACTGGCAAAAAGTATTGATTAAAATATCAAACAGTAGTGTAGAAAAATGTGTGGTACGCCGAGAAGTAATACTCAAGAAGATGTTCAAGGATCAAATAAAGGTACAAGTTGATATATACCTATCGGTTAAGCAGGATTTTAACCAAAAGTGTTCACATAATTAGTCGAAGATGTCAACTGACACGGAATGATTTACTAAATCAAAAACTTTTGAAATATCTGTGAATATAACACCAACCTGACCACTATGCTTAAATCTATCTTTGATGAATGATGAAAATAGTTTATTCCACTAGTATAGTAGTCATTTTTCGACCACAATAAAACCCAAGTTGACTCGGAGAAATAAAAGTAATTTAAATATATACTCAATATATTTATCATAATTTCTAACTGATTGCTTAATTAATTCAAATGAAATAATTCAAAATTCTTTTTTTTTTTAATGGAAATTTTTATTTAAGTCAAAATAAAACAATTTAGGACTTTTAATTAGTTAAAATATATTTACATGACAAAAAATACAATAACACAATTTATAATGAAGGAATATACTACTTTGTAAACACTTAAAATAWTTTGTTTAGACTTTAGCTACTTTTTCATCATCAGATGAATCACTAGAATCGTCACTATGAATATTTGAACTCTTGAAGTTTTTCTGTGAAAAAACAAACGTTGCGGCATTTCAATGTTTTGTTTATAGTATTTATATATTATACTAAAAACTAAAAGGCGTCGGCTATCAGAAATATTAGGACTGAAATGTTTTAATGTATGTGTATAAATTATTAAATATGAATAATATCAAAATATATTTGAAAAAATTTTAAAGAAATAGATACAAAATTTAGTAATCTTACTCTTGAAATTACAGCTTATAATTATTACATCATAATATTAATACTCTTCTAAAATAATAAAATATCACTCACCTTTTCTAAAATATCTGTGTCGTATTTAAATKTTTCTCCCAGGGAATCAAAATTTTTTTTAATTCTTAATACAGCCGATTTGTTTATATCTGCAAGTGTAATTTTTTCTAAAGCCTTATCCAATACTTGGCTAGCTTCAATGACGTTGTTTTGATTAACTAGATCGGAACATTTAACAGTCAACTAAATTATGAAATTTAAATACTTTTATTTTTTTTTTAACTAACCATAAGAATCAATTATAGCACTATAAATTAACCCTAGGTTTGCATTCTGATTGACTTCCTTAAAAGTTGGTATAACCTCTAAGAGCTTATAGCCCAACTCAATATTGTTGTTATTCCGAATATCAGCTAGTAATTGTCGATACTGAATAAACTTTTCATTTTCTAATTCTTTGGCGATGTTAGAAGCCTCATCAAACATTTTATTCAACATGAAATGAGACCACAAACTATTTGCAAACACTTTATAACCATGTGGTGAGATTTTGGTGTGTAATCTTTCAACTAAAAAAATATAATTACATACAAATCATATTAATTGAAATAATTGAAATCATAAAATGTATATAAATATATATTTACATACTTATAAAATAATAATTAGTTCTTAATAAATTATACTAACTTATTGGTATGAAAKATGAGTCTTTATTTAAGATGCTCACTAAATTACCACCTGGCACATTCTTTATRAATTCAGATAATTTATTTGTATCATTTAATCTTTCATCGATATCAGTTTCCAAACGAACTAATAAGTCATTAACATTACCATTTGCTTGATAAGCATTAAATATTTTGTTGTTCAAATTCAATTTACTGCTCATAACCTTAAAAAAAATTAATTGATTTTATTGACATAGATTACATTGATCAGAAACCGTAAAATCTTAATAACTCAACAAAATTGACTTAGCACTAAAACATAAGTATATGTTATTCTTTGCACTGCTACACTATTTATGCACCATTTATGCAACCTGAGTATGCTGCATAAAATAAAAAGATTTTATTTTTATTTTTAAATTTTAGATTTTTATGATCTAATTATTAAGTTTAAAATAATGTGAGCCCAGGTTTGCTAAAATAGTATGATTACCAGCAAATGATAATATAATATACAGGAATGTAAAAGTWTGTTAGTAGCAGTGCAAGGGTTAATGATTGTTTTGATAACTCAATACTGTTAAATTAGTATTAGTGATTGAGACCAGTATTAGTACAATGATACATATTAAGTAAAATTATTGTACCTTGGTAACTTTTTCATTAAGATATTCTAAACTTCTTGTGTGGCCAGCTGCTGAAAGATTTTTTACCAAAAAATTTAATATACTTTTTGTTATTGGTCTATTATTTTCCAACATGTCTTTAGCAATTTCAAATGCTTCATTCAATTTTTTTTCACGAGTTAACAACTCAATAATTTTAGATTCAAGTGAGGAGTTAATATTATATCCTTTGGATCGTAAAGTTTTACGTAACGCAAGAGCTTGAGTGATGTTATTAYTATWGATACATGACTCAAGATCAGTAGATAAAGTTTTGTTAACRTCACTAGGGACAACTGAAACATTTTGTTTTGGTTTCTTAACTGTAAATGGAACTTCGAGTTCATTTTTCTTTAAAAGCTGGCTTAAAGACCACATGAAATTTTCTGATGGTTGGCAATCTTCTTCTTGCATTTGAGTCCAAAGAGCCATTGCTTCTTCTACTCTATTATTTTTACCTAAGACAAATATAATTAATAAAACTTGTTAATATCATTATGGACGGAAATTTATAATAATCAAGGAACTTTACTGTATAACTGGAGGAGTTCATTAAATATATTAGTCCTGTCAAATTGACCAATGTTTTTTGTAACTTCTAGTAAACGAATGAGGGATTTTTCATCATTATCCAATCCATATTTGGCACAAGCTGAATTAATACGATCTTGTCTAGTTCGTAAACCTGGGGTCTAAAAATAAAAATTAACATTCATGTTTATTAAGAATTTTTTTTAAATATAATGTAGTATAAAAACTATCAAAATTTTAAATCAAAAGAAATTACTTCAAATTAGTATTGGTAGATATTTTATTTAAATAAGATAAAATGTCGAAGTATCAAAAAGAAGACGCATTCAATTTATATACAAATATTTAAAAAGTGTACAAGAGTTTTTTAATTAAGATCGAACAATACATAAGATGTAAAAAATGATATCAGATTTTTATTTGCAGTTAGGTAATGTTTGATGTTAATTTATAAGGTACTAAAATCCTTATAAATAAATATTTAACTTGAACCACAATAATCAACTTGGAATATAAAAGATTTAACTTTTCACTTACTTCCAAAATTTTACGGGCTTGTTTGACACGCCCACATTCAATAAATGCAAACATAAGATCATACAGAGAATTTACTTCACCATGTACAGTAGTACTTAAGTCAGTTAACACTTGTAAGGAAATAGCATCTTCTGCTTGAATAAACTTTAAAGCTAATTCGTTTTTCCATGGAGTACATCTGTATGTCTTGCAACACCATTCAAATTTATCCAGAGCTCCTTTAATATCGTTGCTAAACACAAAAAAATAGTACAATTTTAAATTAAAATCATCTTAAAATAGTACAATATAACTTATTACTTGACAATATGAACTTTGATTAATGGTCCTAAAAGTATATTTGAAACAGTAATGTAGTTATTCTTGATAAGTAAATCAAATATTTTTTGAAGATTTTCTACATTGCCACTTTCAGCAACAGTATTTAATAATTTCCAACAAAGATTGGCATGTTGAAATGATGTAAACTCAGTATTATCATCAAATTGTTTAAGTGAAGATAGAAAATCTATAGCGTCTAAATCAATAAACATACCATGTTATTTTAATTGATAAACAAAATTCAGAATACAAACTTTTAATTTAAATCACAAGCAAATAGATACTTACTTTCAATACCATCAGTTTTAGCTATCAATTCCGCCATTTTAACAACCTTAAATTTGTCTAAGGTAAATTCAGAACTATTAGTTTTTAATTCATGTAAAATTTGTTTTGCTTCGTCCAGTTTATTGTGATTTAAGTACATATCAATAAGTAAAACCATTGATCCAGGTGGTATACTAAATCCTTCAGCTATTAATTTCTATACATAAAATGAATTTAGAAATTAAAATAAACAATGAAAATATAATAAAAATACAACTATTTCTTAATTATAAATGAATTTTTACATCTTTAAATGCAGAAGCTTTTTCAAAATTGTTATTTTTACAATACAAATTTAATAATTGTCTTTTAGTTCCGTTTTTAGCTTCACCAGAGGCTTCTGCTTTGCTAATGATGTTTTCCAATGTACTTTCATCCTAGAATAAAAAATAAATTTTTTAAATTGAAAATATCAACCATTTTAATTTATTTAAATATGTTTAGTTAATTTAACAGAAACTTAAAATTTAATAACACATACTACATTAGATAATGTATAACCTCCTGGCTTGGCACTCAATTCAGCTTTAAGCACTAAATTAGAATCTGTTAAATTTTCTAATAAACTTGTTATTTCAAATGTTAATTTTCCTTGTAGAAGATTTTGTACTTGTTCTGATGCATAAGAATTAATTCCCAAGCCTTTTCCATACATGTTCTAGTTTTTTTTTATAAAAATTAAATTTATTATTATTACATTTGAATAACTGAATATTTATATATTTAGTAAATAATAATTTAATAATTTACTTCTAATAATTCATGAACAATTTCCACAACTCCTGAAGTCTGTTTTAAACTTCGCACAASGTCAATTAGAACTTGACTGATGAATTCTCGCATTTCAGTGATTTGGTCTTCTGTATGAATCGAGTTTTTATCAAATTTGTCTTGTTTTGACAATTCAGGGGCAGTTACAAGAGAGTATCGCGAAAATCCATTGCAAATTTGTTGGAGTAATATAATTAATGATGTTATATCATTACCAGCTAAAAATGCATTAACTAAAGGACGGCGAATTAAAGAAGGAACATAGAAAGCACGGCTAGTAGCAGCTGTTAAAAAAAAAAAAAATGAAAAAGTTATTAGTATACATTATTATATTTTATATTTAAATCTATTCAGATATTACCAATGTCTGCCGCTAAACGAATCTTTTTTTCAGACAGTAAATACAACACTAATGAATGTGTAGTAGTGCCTGAAGGTATACCCAACAATTGCAACTCATTGATGATTTTTGTTCCATCCAAATTATTTTTAAACATTGTTGGTAAAACATAATACCGAAGGGTATCGATATTAGGGTTTAATTCATACTTGTTAACCATAATACTCAGCACATTTTTTAATCCTACAATAAAACAATTGAATAAAATAACTTAAATCATGCTTTTATAACATATTTTACTAAAATTAATATTTAACACAAAATAGTAATTACCTTGCAAATCATTTTGTTTATCTTTAGCAACTAAAATTGGCCAAAAGTAATGTTGTCTAATAGGTTGCCCATTTTCTTTCAAATACTCAAACATGCCTAATGCTATATCAACTGACCCATTTTTCAATGCCATTTCAGTTGCAATTTCAAATGCTTTAGAATTTGACCCTTCAGATACTAACTTCTTGCAAAACCCAATAACATTATCCAAAGACTAAAAAAATAAATTTCAATATAACACTAATACTATTTTATAACATGGGTTTTTGGGGGACAGATTTTCTACACCTGTTGGCAAACTGATAATGTCATTATAAAAATAATTCCCATAATTTTAACATTCAATTGACTGAATTGAAAAAATAAAATGACAAAAATGTATAAAGGTTGATTCACAAAGCATGCTTACCACTATTTTTTCCTTTAATAATAAATGTATTAAAATTTGAGTCGTTCAAAAACAAAGTTTCGGTTCTAAACATGTCTATAAGAATAAAGCTAAAAATATTTTCACAAAATTATAAAACATAATAAGTATTATGCAATATTGTATCAAGTATATATTGTACATGGACCAATTTTAGAAATTATAAATGTTGGAAGTTCAATATATTACAAACATTTTCAGATCTACATTACTCCCATACCTTTCACTAATTATTCTTATACATCAACTTAAATACCTAACTCAAAAACTAATCATTAAAATTTAGATCTTAATATATCAATATTTACAGAAAAGGGGGGTGGAGTGGCCGAGCGGACTGAGGCGTCRGTTGCGACGCACGCAGTCGCCGGTTCGAATCTCAGTCACGGGCGGCATTGCTCTTTGGGCATTTTGCGGTGTCTGGAGAGAGAGGTCGCCACTGCCCCCCACCGCGCATGGCCAAAACCTACGGGTACCCATTCAAAATTTTTCCAAAAACCCACGTGTTAAAACCTACAATACCTTCCCCTACAGTTCCCCAGGTTAATGACCTCAGTTGTTGAAGCCCTAACCCTAAAAAAACAAAATTTACAGAAAAATGATCACCTAAATAATTTTTAGTAGAGAGAAAAAAGTGTTTACATTACTAAAACAGAGGTTTGCATATCTCTTAAGGACACTTCTATAGTATAAAAACTCTCAAGTTTTAAAATAATATGTACTTTAAGTACATTTAAAAATACAAAAATCAGATTTTGAATAATTGTATTGTTAAAAAAAAAATGGGGAACATGGTTGGTGAATCACCCTTTATGGTAAATTCTGAAAGAAAATTTAAATTATTGTAAATTAGTGAATAGACTAGTTTCAATAAAAATTTAATAGATTTTTGAATTTTTCAGTTTATCTCTTTCATTAATTACTTATTCTGTGACCATACATAATACATAAAATATATGTAATCAGTGATAAGTTAATAATAAATATGAATAAAATTCAAAAGAATTAACAAATGTATAGAATTCAAATATTAAAACTGCCCTTACACTATTAACTTTTGTAAGATGTCCAATCAAGAAACGGCCAATTGGTGGAGAAGTTCCATCAGCCTTTAATGGTTTTGTCATTGTATCGAATATTTTAAATGCAATTTCTTCATGGCCACAAGTGACTAATTTATAAATACAATTAATAGCATCTTGATTATATCCAGAGGTTTTTGGAATTCTAGCCAATATCTATAATTGATAACAAAATATTTAATAATGAAATAAAAAAATTTAAAATGCACTTACTTGATCGATTTTATCACTATGACCATTGACTGCCAATGAATATACGATATCTAGATATTCTTTGTCACTTAAATATATTTCCTTATTATCACAGGTGTCCAAAACATCTATTAATTTACCAATATCACCATTTTTAGCATACCCTGAAGCTAATAATGTATATGTGTCTGATGTGGGTTCTAGATTTGATTCTTTCATAACATTTAAAACACCTACAGCACTCTCCATATCACTAAAATAGKAACTAGGATTAGTTACAAATCATAAATGTGTATAATAATTGAGTATGCCTTAGTGCTAATTGTGAGCAAAATATAAATACTTTAAATAGGAAAAAAATGTATAATATATTAAAAAATGCATAATTGTATGTTATACTGTATACCAAATAGTAATAATACCTATTTTGTGAATGACCCATGACTAAAGCATTAAAAACTATTTTGTTGATTGGTAGCTGTTTATCACGCATATATTCTAATATGCGACTAGCCCCAGCAATATCACCATTTTGGCAATATCCTGTGATTAAATGTTGAAAAGTTACACGATTAGGTGTAATATCTGCTTTCTCCAAATTTTCCAAAAATTCAGTTGGGGAGAATACATAATTATTTTCCAAATATACTTTCAGCAATGTGTTGTAATGACTTATATCCAGAGGAACACCTAAAAATAAAATATAAATAAATGAATATAAAATTCTAACTCATTTGTAATAAATACTGTAATAGATAATTTCTTACCGATTTTATTTATAGCTTGCCATATTTTTTGAACTAATATTGTTCGATTTTCAGGCAATTCATCAGGTACGAAGTTACCACAACATCGAAGGACCATTAATGACTGTGATGGAGTGGCAGCTTCTAAATAAATAATAAACAAGATTAAAGAATTATTATATTATTGAGGTGAAAACTCCAGGAAGAACTCACTAGAAATCTGAATTTCATTAAGAATCTCTTCAATTTCCCTCTTCGAAATACGTCCCATTCGTCTTAAATCAAAATCAAGTTTTTTAATACATTCATCAATTTTGTTAAGTGACGAGTTTTGATGAATAGCTGATGAAAAAAATGACCTAAGTATACAAAAAATTTAGTAAAAAATTAAACACATATAATATGCTGAAAATAACTAGCAAAACTTACCGATTTGGGAGTATATTTGTATTGCGATATGGAATACTTCCATTATTGTTGGTTTCTGGAAATGTTTTTTGGGAAATATGAGAATTCGTATTTGATATTAATGTGTTGCTAATCCTATGGCGGCCTAAATTGTACGCTGTGCGTATGTGCTTTGAGCACTGAATTAAAACAGACATGACGGTCGAAATGTATGAAACTTCTAATAAATCGATTAAAAAAAAATTATAAATACAATTAGTCAACGACCTGCAAAATTCAGTCGCCGAAAAAATTTTCACTAATACCTAGCTGCCGCTTCGATCTTATTAAGTAATAAACTAATAACAGTAATAACCTTAAAAAGGAAATGGAAATAATGGAATATTGTGCTCACTATCACAACATGATAAATGAACTCGCGTTATCACGGTCATGGATAGATAATAATAATAACATTAACATTGATCATTATTATA